TGCTCCTCATGGAACCTTCTCTAAAATAGACCACATACTAGGTGACATAACAAACCTCAACAGATACAAGAGAATAGGAATAGTCCCCTGTATCTTATTGGACCACCATGCTTTAAAATTGGAATTCAACAACAACACAAATAGCAGAAAACCTGCAAACTCATGGAAACTGAACAATGTGCAATTGCACCACTCCTGGGTCAAAGAAGAAATAAAAAAAGAAATTAAAGACTTTCTAATATTCAACGAGAATGAGGATACAACATACCCGAACTTATGGAACACCTTGAAAGCAGTGCTACGAGGGAAGTTCATTGCACTAAGTGCCCATATGAAGAAAACAGGATAGTCACATAAGAGAATTAACAGCGCAACTGAAAGCCTTAGAACAGAGAGAAGCGAATTCAGCCCACAGGAGTAGACGCCAGGAAATAATCAACTTGAGGGCTGAAATCAACAAAATAGAAACCAGGAAAACAATACAAAAAAAAAAAAAAAAAAAAAAAAAAAATCAATGCGGCAAAGAGTTGATTTTTTGAGAAAATCAACAAGATAGACAAACCTTTATCCAAATTAATGAAAAAACAGAGACAGAACATGCAAATTAACAAAATCAGAAACGAAACGGGGAACATAACAACAGACACAGAGAAATCCAGACAATCTTCAGGTCATACTTTGAAAATCTGTATTCCACAAAAATTGAAAATTCAAAGGAAATGGACAAGTTTCTGGATAACTATCACTTACCAAAATTAAATCAAGAACAGACAAACAACTTAAATAGACCTATAACCTGCAATGAAATAGAAACAGTCATAAAAACCCTTCCAACCAAAAAAAGTCCAGGGCCAGATGGATTCAGCGCAGAATTCTACCAGACATTCAAGGAAGAACTAATACCACTACTCCTCAAACTGTTCCACAAGATAGAAACAGAAGGTTCATTGACAAACTCTTTTTATGAGGCCACAATAACTTTGGTACCCAAACTTCACAAAGACACAACTAAGAAAGAAAACTACAGACCAATATCCCTGATGAACATCGATGCAAAAATACTCAATAAAATACTGGCAAACCGAATTCAAGAATACATCACAGAAATCATCCACCACGACAAGTAGGCTTCATACCTTGAATGCAGGGATGGTTTAACATACGAAAATCTATCAATGTGATCCACCATATAAACAAACAGAAAAAGAAAAACCATATGATTATCTCCCTAGATGCGGAAAAAACCTTCGACAAAATTCAACACCCTTTCATGATAAAGGTCTTGGAGAGGTCAGGGATAACAGGAACATACCTAAACATAATAAGAGCAATATACAGCAAACCAACTGCCACATCAAACTGAATGGAGAGAAACTTAAGCCAATTCCTCTAAAATCAGGAACAAGACAAGGCTGTCCTCTCTCTCCATATCTCTTCAATATCATACTAGAAGTTCTAGCTAATGCTATAAGACAACAAAAGGAGATCAAGGGGATCCAAATTGGAAAGGAAGAAGTCAAACTGTCTCTATTTGCAGATGATATGATAGTTTACATAAGTGACCCAATAAACTCTACCAGGGAACTCCTACAGCTGATAAACACCTTCAGCAAACTAGCAGGATACAAGATAAACTCAAAAAAATCAGTAGCCCTACTTTTTTCAGACGACAAAGAGACAGAGAAAGAAATCAGAGAAACATCACCCTTTACAATAGCCACAAGCAACATAAAGTATCTTGGGGTAATGCTTACCAAACAAGTAAAAGACCTATATAATAAGAACTTTGAGGCTCTAAAGAAAGAAATTAAAGAAGATACCAGAAAATGGAAAGATCTCCCATGCTCTTGGTTAGGTAGGATTAACATAGTAAAAATGGCAATCTTACCAAAAGCAATCTACAGATTCAATGCAATCCCCATTAAAATCCCACCACAATTCTTCACCGACCTTGAAAGGATAATAATCAACTTTATATGGCAAAACAAAAGACCCAGGATAGCCAAAACAACCCTATACAATAAAAGAACTTCAGGAGGCATCACCATTCCTGACTTTAAGCTCTACTACAGAGCTATAGTTCTGAAAACAGCCTGGTATTGGCATAAAAATAGACAGGTAGACCAATGGAATCGAATTGAAAATCCTGATATTAAGCCACGCACCTATGAACACCTGATTTTCGACAAAATAGCTAAAAGTATACAATGGGGCAAGGACAGCATCTTCAACAAATGGTGCTGGCACAATTGGATGAGGGTGTGTAGAAGACTGCAGATAGACCCATGTCTGTCGCCATGCACAAAACTTAAGTTCAAATGGATCAAAGATCTCAACATCAATCCAGCCACATTGAACCTCTTAGAAGAGAAAGTAGGAGGTACCCTTGAACAAATTGATATAGGAGACCGCTTCTTGAACATAACTCCAAGGGCACAGACACTGAAAGAAACAATTAATAAATGGGACCCCTTCAAACCTCTACAAGACCAAACGGCAGCCCACAGACTGGGAAAAGATTTTCACCAATCCTATATCCGACAAAGGGCTGATCTCCAAAATATACAAAGAACTCAAGAAACTAGTCAACAAAACACCAAATAACCCTATGAAAAAATGGGGTACAGAACTGAAGAAAGAATTCTCAATAGAGGAAATCAAAAATGCTGAAAGACACTTAAGAAAATGCTCCACATCCTTAGCTATCAGGGAAATGCAAATCAAAACAACTTTGAGATACCATCTTACCCCTGCCAGAATGGCTAAAATTAGAAACACCAGTGATGACTTATGTTGGAGAGGATGTGGAGAAAGTGGAACACTCCTCCACTGCTGGTGAGAGTGGAAACTCATACAGCCATTTTGGAGATCAGTACGGTAGTTCCTCAGGAAAATGGGAATTAGTTTACCACAGGACCTGGCAATCCCCCTCTTAGGCATATACCCAAAGGATTCACATCCATGCAACAAAGACATCTGTTCAACTATGCTCATAGCAGCACTATTTGTAATAGCAAGATCCTGGAAGCAACCTAGATGCCCCTCAATTGAAGAATGGTTAATGAAGATGTGGCATATCTACACAATGGAATACTACTCTGCAGAAAAAAATAATGGTATCTTGAAATTCGCAGGCAAGTGGATGGCACTTGAAGAAACCATCCTGAATGAGGTAACCCAGTCACAAAAAGAGGAACACAGTATGTACTCACTCATATATGGATTTTAGATCTAGATCAAATGATCACCAGCCTATAATTCACATCACCAGACTAACTAGAATACAAGGTGTATTCTAAGAGATTCATATAAAGTCCCTCACAGAACTGGGAAGGGACAAGTCCCCCAGAGCTCAGGTGAAGTGGGGGGGGGGGCAACGAATGGAGAGAGAAGTAGGAGAAAATGAGGGGGAGGAAAGGAAAACATGTGCGACCAGGAGGACTGAGCCTGGTTAGGAATAGAAGATAGGACAGAAAGAGAGAGAGAGACACACAGACAGAGACAGAGAGATAGAACATAAAAGAGGGAGCCAATATTGGTTTGAAGATAAAGTTGAACACAAAGAAAGGTCTAGCGAACTACAAGACTGCTCCCAACTAACAATCTCAGCTTCCATGAAAAGGCTATCATAAATGCCCTTCCTGGAGAGTGAGATCAACAACTAACTTCTCCATGGAGCCCTCAACTAATGCCTGTTGAAAACAGGATCAAACACCCATACATAAACACTGAGTTGAACTAGAACCCAGATGCAGATGGAGAGGAAAAGACCATGCGGCAGAAACACATAGAGACAGCTTACCTGAACAAGGAGGAGCTATCGGCCACTAGACTGATACCTGGGAAGCCAGCATGGGACTGACTCGGGCCCCCCTGAATATGGGTCTCAGCCAGAAGGACTGAGCAGTCTAAGAGACCTCAGACAGTGGAGCCAGGATGTATCCCTGGTGCACAAAAGGACTTTGCGAACATATCCCCCATGGAGGGATAACTGCCTTAATCTAGAGACAGGAGAGAAGTCCTTGTCCCTATTTCACATGACCTGTCAGATCTACATGACCCCAACTGGATGGCATTCCTCTACATATGGAATTGGGGTGGGGGGGATGGGAGGGGAGGGTGGGGGATGGGAGGAGAGCGTGGTTTAGAGTGCATGTGAGAGGGCAGAGAGGGTAAAAGGGAGGGAAGAAGGGAGGGAGGGATGGAGGGAGGGAGAGGGAACTGGGATCGACATGTAAAATAATAAATTAAATTTAAAAAAAATGCTTTGACTCCAAAATTTAAGTTCAAGGACAAGTTACTGGGGAAAAGGATTTCTATTTTTGTTTCCACAGAAAATGAAAAGATGTGGATTCCTTCCAGACTAATGTGGTTTGATCACACCAGACCGCCTGAAACTGAGTACAAGCTGATCCTACATTCAAAACAGCTGGACAAAACAGCCCTACAGACTACAGCCAGATATCTGAATTCTCTTCGAATCCTCCATGACAGCGCCCCTTACCAGCAGGAAGTAGTTTGGAAAGAACGACGCCCAAATTCCCAAATGTTGTGTATAAATGTTTGTTTTCATTTAATTGGACTTTGTTATATAAAATAAAATAATAAAAAAACAAAAAACAAAAAACTGTCACATATGGTGACACCCTAGATCCCTGAGGCAGAGGCAGGTGGGTCTCTGAGTTCAAGGCCAGCCAGGGATACACAGGGAGACCAGATCCTGTCTCACCAGGTGTTTGATGAGGATTGAATTTAGAAAAAACAAAAAACATAGCTCTGAGTCCCTCTAGCCTATACTAGAACCAAGGAACACAAGGTCTCAAGCTGACACCAACACTCCAGGACAACCATGGGTGTTCAGCAGTCCAGTACCAGGGAATCACCCTTGGGCTCTTTCTGACTCTAAAGATGCCCACTCTCTTTTGGCAACCAAAAGGCTGTGTCTCTATGAGGATATATACCAAAAGGGGCCAGGCGGATTCCCCAAGAGAGGTACTCACCAGAACAATGATGCCCTGTGCCAACAAAGCCTGGCAGGCAAGCACAGCTGAATGAGCTGCCTCCATGGTGAAAACACTGGGCCTGCTCCTCAGGAGCACAGGTGTGACTGCCATCAAGGCAAGGGTTGGAAGGCGGGCCGATCACTGAAAAAAAAGGGAAAAGTGTCTGAAGAGTTGACACCTCTTCAGTGTCAGTGTATGGGTGAGCCTTTCTCTTCAGAGCCCCATCCACAGACTAATATCATCCTTTGGAACTTAAGGAATGCAGGGTCTTGGGGGGGTCTCAGGCCTTGTCCTAGTTAGAATCTCAATTTTAGCAAGATTCGTAGCTCAGGATTCATACCCATATTAGAGTTGAGGTAGGGGTGTGTGTGTGTGTGTGTGTGTATGCTTAAAATATTAGGCATGACATTAAGTCATTACAACAGATCCTGGTTGCAGCTTGTAATTCCCCAGAGTACTGTGTACACACTACAGACAGACAATAAGCACACACACACACACACACACACACACACACACACACACACACACACACAGTTCTTACTACCATTGCTACTTTGTCATCTTACTGGAGATTGAAATGTGTAATTCTCTATTATGAGCTAGCTCCATCAGTGAGATAAATTTGGAATTCTAGGTCTTTTGGAACCATTCTTCAGTCTGAAGTTAGTGTGTTTTAGAACCCTAAAGGATTTATTTATTATGGATGGGTCTATGGATCCTGGAATGAGACAGGCACCTTTCAATATGAATTCCTTACAGAGCTGGGGTATTACAAGTTACTGTCTGGTTATAAGACAAGGCCAGGAATCTCAGTTGAGAACACCCCCCAACCCCCAGTAACTCAACATCTAGGTGGGAAAAACTATCAGGACAGGACTGAACTGAACTACAGCAGAGAGTTACATCAGTATACTTTAAGAAAGGCACACAGTTGGCGGTAGTGGCACACACCTTTGATCCCAGTGCTAGGAAGGCAGAGACGGGAAGATCTCTGAGTTCGAAGGCAGCCTGGCCTACAAAGCTAGTTCCAGAACAGGATCCAAAGCTACAGAGAAACCCTGTCTCAAAAAACAAAACAGGAAGGACGCCAGACACATGTTAGAGCTTTCTATATAGCAGGTATAGAGATAAAAAATGAATTCCAAGGTAGGATTCAGCATCCTTCTAGCTGAAGGGAAAAAAGATTTTAATGCTCACAGATACAAGTGTGCTGGTCATCTGCAAATTCATAGCCATGGCGGCATCCACATCTGTAACTTCCTGGCACATTGATGCACACAGAATTGGGGCCACAGTGATGGAAGCCTGTGGCACATTCATTGACATCTAAGCAAAAAATGAGAACAGAAAAGTACTGATGAAACTGGGTTCGGGAAACCGAAGATCTAACAACTCAATTTTCCCAGCATTAAGATGCTTCGGTGCGACTAATGGCTGGCTAGTGGAAATAAGAGAGTCTTGAACACTGGGCAAAATACCAAGTTGCAGTTCATCAGAAATAAGGAAAAACATTTTCAAATCTTTCGTTAAGCCATAGGAAGATACTTTGAATACTTCAGGAATTCTTTAAAAAGTAAACAATTTGATTTTTCAAAGACAGTTTCTTTCTGTAGCCCTAACCCCAAATACCCATCTCCAATCTGTTTTCTCAAACCTAGCCAAACTTTGCCTCAGTTTTCATATAACTGAGTCCAGATATCCAGAGGCTAAACCACAAACACCACAAGTAGTTATCTCCCATAGACTGTAGTGCAGAGACAGCAAGGTGAAAACAAGGGCTACATGACAGAAACAGACAGCATGTCTCTTACCCTCACAGCTTCGTCCATCTTCCTGGAACCCAGGGGTGCACTCACAGGTGTAGTTTACACCTGTACCCGGGCGGCACCTTGCTGTTGTGTCACAGGTATGGCTCCCATCATAGCAAGGGTTCACTGGTGCGGGGGCTGAGTCCACTGTGCATGTATGGGAAACAGAAGAGGGCACAGAGTGACTGCCACAGGAGAATATGAGGAAAAGGAAAGGAGACAGGAGTCTTTGTTACCAATGCAAAGCTAAGGTGGACTACATCCACCCCAAGGTTAATTTCAACAGCTTCCTGTGCCTACTCTGTAGAACAGGGTTCTGGCTTTCAGTAGGTTTGCCTCCAGGGTAAGAAATCGTCTAGCATCTCCTAGGACTCTCAAGATAACTCTGAGCCACACTGCTGTTCCCATAAGAAAGGTAAGGGAGAGACATGGGATAAATTACTTGAATCCAGAGTCAGCAAGTGTGTTGGCAAAGACTCAACCTCCCACTTCAAACTCACCATTTCTGTGGGTTAAATCTTAAGGCCTTACAGGGTCTCAGTCTCTGTCAATCTCAATTTTACCATGATTCCTTGCTCAAGGGTTCATATGTGTGTCATATTTGAGAAATGGTCGTGTGTTGGTGCTTAAAAATATTAGGCAAGACAGCAAGTCATCCAAACGGACCTCGGAAAAAGCTTTTAGTGGCCCAGATTATTGCATGCACCCCCCCACAACAACAACAACACACACTACCATTGCTACTTCATTATTTCACTGGAGATTGACACATTCCAAGGTCATCTAGGAAAAGGGAACCTCAATTGAGAAAATGCTTCCATCAGACTGGCCTGTAGGGAAGTCTGTGAAGCATTTTCTTGACATATCTTAATCTCTTGGATGTACTTCTAAATGACTTGTAGAATGTGTCCTACAGTTTGTGGTTGACACTCTTTGAGCATCCCCTCCCAGGAAGTGCTCTGAACCCTTTATATCCAACTGTTTGCATCCACTAGATTACACATGCTGACTGCAGCCTATGAAAGCCAAACAACTTGCTCACATTTACAGCTAGGAGAAGTAAGTAGACTCAGAATATGATACAATTTCGAACAGCCCCATTAGGGGCCCAGCTAGAGGAACCTCATAAATTACCTTTCTAAGCCAAAAGCATAGGTACCAGGGATGAAGTTCAGATGCCCAATGATTCCTTTTTGATTCTTCAGTGCAAAATACAAATAAAATGGTTTGATATCTGTGGATTTGCTTTTTAAAATACAACATATATTTCAAGGTTGGTGCTCCCAATGGTAGGATTAGTTGTCCCAAGGAACAGTTTCCCCCTCAATGGGACAGCTCTTTGTCCTCATTTGAAGTGTTTACTTTGCCTCAGTCTGTGGAATTGTAATCTTAGACACAGATGACTTCAAGAGCCCCATCTACACCTGTCTGGTTACACTGAGCCACTTTGGCTATCACAATACTCCATGCAAAACATAGCAACTGGGGCCTCTGCCTCTTAAGTCTATGTCAGAATCCTTCTTGGTAGGCAGGTTGGTATTCCCCATCATACACTAAGTGTAACCTGCTCGTCAGTTCTCGCAGAAGCCAGAATTCTAGGATCTGCAGACATACCCTGGCACTTAGCACCAGGATTTCTTGTCACTTCTATCTCACTCATGACTCCCCAGCCATCTTTTGTAGCTGGGACTTGTTGCCAGTTACACCTGAGTACTTGTTTTTGCTACCTATTTCAGGGCTGAACTTCCTCCTGGTAGGTCTTTGAGATTGTCTTCCCAGCAGTTTCACTTTCCTGCTGCCCAAGTTAGATTCCTCTTATTTTCTGGAACAGTCTGTTGTAAACTGAGGTGCATTGACTGAGATATCTCCACTCTCTGGTAAACTCTTCCCCATCCACTCTATAACAAATAGCACTATGCATTTCTATGGCAGAACATTCATTATCATTTCCCCCACCAGGGTCTGAATATGAAGCCGCCTATGGGTTTGTCCTCAGTTTACCTCAATGTTGACAGAGGTAAGGGAATCTCTGCAAAACAAAATATTGGGACAGTCATTCTGAGAATGCTTCCTTCTGGACCTCTTAGCCGAGGGAGGAAAATCCAAGCTCGGGGAAGTGGCACTCAGTTAACTTGGGCATGTAGACAGAGCCCCTGAAAACAGTTTCCAGCCAGATTTTAACTAAGCACAGGGTCACATCCTCACTAAAGGCCCCATGTAAGACAAGGACCCCACTCTCCCTAAAATTATTTACTCCTCATTTTAGAATAATTTCCAAAGGGAATACTCATCTTTAAAATGCTTAATTTATAAATAATAATTTTAACATTCTTATGTAGCCCTTTCCAACATCAAACTTTCACTACAGTACATTCCAGGAAAGATTAATAAGTGTGCATGTATATCAGAGCTTATCTCCCTGCTAGACATTAAAATAAAAGAATTTTTGAAGCAGACCAGAGGAGACCTGCTCTTTCACTACATAAATACTTCCATAATTACATGATACTGACTTAACAAGCAATGTAGCTATAGCTAGTAATATAATTCAGAATCCAGTGCAAGGGGAAAATGCAGAGCCCACCGTTAAGAAAAATGACAAAAATTTAGACAACTTAATAATCAGCTATTTCAGTGAGCCATTTTGCACACCACCACTAAATGTATCTTCTAGTAACATCTTGAGAAAACATTCCTAAAAACCTCTTCACTATTCCTAAATTCTAAGCCTACTAGCTCTCTCCTCTTTTAGTAAGTCAAGGATGCCAATATTCTTAAGCCATTTCATATTTCACCCACTTAAACACTAGTGACAGAGGAGTTGGAACCCATTGGCTCTGCTCAGGAAGAGAAGAATGAATAGCTATTCAATGATGCAGATTCAATGGCCCTTTGCCCACACATCTCCCTAAGGGGCCCTGGAGAGGAAGGGTGGCAGCATGCCTGGGGCCTATACTGTGACACCACCACAAACATACAAGGGACAGACGACTGTGGCTGGAGGACAGCAAAGGCCACAGGCTTCTCTTTCTCGCTGGGAAATCACACTAACTGTATCTGCACAGTGCTCACATTGCTGCAAGGTTATGTAGCTTAGCATGACCCTCTGGAAAAGCCTAAGACTTCTCATGCTCCTGTGCAGTGACAAAGCATTTACTTCTGGTGTCTTGTGTATGTTTATCTACTGTTCTGATTCAAGAACAATGAATAGTACCTCTGTGGGTGAAGCTTGGTTCAATCACAAAAGGTTAAAATTTATACTCACATGAAATCTGGGTCTATACTAAGAGGTTGTTTTGAAGCTGACAGAGCCCATGTGGTGCAGTTGTACTATGTGGGACAAATGTGGGCTCTGTTCCCAGTGCTAGGGTTTGAGTACCAGCCTGCCACTTACCAGCTGTATTTTTGACAGTTTTACCTCAACATCTCAAGTTTTTCATCTATAAAGGGATAACGATACAACCCTGTTGAATACATGTTGCTACAGGGATTAGATGAGTTAATTCATGTAAGGTACTCAGGCTTGTAATATGCCTTGCTATTTATTAAATATTATTTGAGTGGGAATGAAGCTCATAAAACTAATTAGCAACTGGTACTTTTTGCTACTTGCTCTCATTTGGGAAGAAGAGACCCAAAGATAAACTGTTTTCTTCCATGGGGCTCTATGGCACTGTGGTTCATCCTCTAATACAGTGGCTCTCAACCTTGCTAAAGCTGTTAAAGTTCCTTATGGCATGGTGATCTCCAACCATAAAATTATTATGTTATCACTTCATAGTTATGAATTATAGTTATAATTATAGTTATAATTTTGCTACTGTTATGAATCATACTGTAAATACCTGATATTCAGGATATTTGTTATGTGATCCCTGTGGGGTCGTGACCCACAGATAGAGAGATGTTACTCTAATGGCTCTTCTTACAAATCTGATGCCTCCATCTGCTAAAGGTAGAACTGGACATTTGGAGGGAGTGTATTCCATGGTGGCTTCTCTCTCTCTCTTTATGAAATAAAATTGGACTCTTCCTTCTTGATTTACATGCTGCCCTAAAAATCGAAGCAGGCTTTCTTTCAGGCCACCAACCAGCTGCCAAATCATGATGTGGAGACTTATTATTAGTTATGAATAGTTGGTCTTATGCTCATTTCTTGCTAGCTCTTATAACTTATATTAACCTGTTTCTCTTCATCTACGTTTTCTTGGGTCTTTTTAACTTTCTTTTATTCAGTAAGTCTTACTTCTTATTTGACTGGCTGGCCCTGGGCATCTCCCTCTTTCTCCTTTGTTCTCTCCTTCTCCTCTCTCAATCCTAGATTCCTTCTACTTATTCTCTCTGCCTTCCAGACCCGCCTATTCTTTTATTGCCTAGCTACTGGCTGTTCAGCTTTTATTGTTGTTTTAATTTTTGATACAGGATTTCTAGCTTTCTTAAAACTCACTCTGTTGATCAGGCTGGCCTCAAACTCAGAGATCCAGCTGCCTTTGTCTCCTGAGTACTAAGATTAAAGGTATATGCCACCACCACGAGGACTCCCTGCAGTTGTTCAGCTTTTATTAGATCAATCAAGTGCCTTAGACAGGCAAGGTGAAACAGCAAAACATCTTTTCATAATCTAACAAATGCAGCATAAACAAATTTAACACATCTTTATATAGTTAAAGTAATATTCCACAAATAAAATTAAGTGGCATCTTAACTTACTACATTGTAATGTCATCTTTGGCTGCCAAATGCTTAGGTCTGCATCCTATATCAACCTTTATATTTAAACCAGTTTCCTGTATCAAAAGCAACCAAACTAACAAACTCAGGTTTCTCTTTTCAAGCAAGGTCCTGTCAACTTCCTTCATTGCTAATATGTGGGTGAGCCAATGCCCATACTGTATCTACGGAGGCATCTAGCTCTAGCAATAGAGCACAGATTTGTTCAGTCACCTCTCAAAGATGCTGACTCTGGGCTTACACTGTTAACAGCAATAGAATGTGGAAGCCAGTCCCTTTCTTGTCACATGCCTCTTTCCCTAGAGGGTTTAGAGAATTCAAAGTCACCTTGATTTTTTTTGGTCAACTTCCTTGACTCTGCAGGCCCATCCCAGCTTGCTCAGGACATGTTTGAAGATAGACAGCTTTTGAGGAACAGGCAAGTTTACAGAGAAATTGCTAAGAATGGTTTCCATATCCATATCTCTCTCCTACCTCAGTCACACAGATGCCCTATAATTAACGTGCACTACTGTAGCAGTAGCCACTAACTAATGTCCCTGGATTTCATGGGACTCACTCCAAAGAACAGAGAAAGTCCCACTACAGACGGCTTGCGTACCACATTCAGTTCTGCACTATTCGGAACATCAAGAAAATGGAATCTGCCTAGATTAACAGATGAGTGAATAAAGAATATGTGGTTCATATACACATGGACTTTTGTTTAGTCATCAAGAAAACAGAAATTGTTATATATGCAGAAAAATAGATCACCACATTGAGTAGGTGTGTAAATGGTTGCGGATATAGGACATAAAAACAGGAGGGGAGAGTAACAATACATATTCATGGAAAAATTGGCTCCACTCTTGGGGGTGGAGGAGAGGTTAAGTGAAGGATGGCAAAGTATGGAGACAGTAAAAGGAAAAAGGAAAAAAGATCAACAAAAACAAAAATCTGTATGAAAATTTCATAATGAAACCTACTACTTTGTATATTATTTTTAAAAACAAATAAAAATGAGTAAAATTTTAAAATAATAGGACTTAGACTGGAGAGAGAGCACACACACAGAAGCACACATACACACATACCAGGGCTCACTCTGCTTGCAAGAGCACATGCATAAGAACATATAACCCACCATCAGAGCTTGGTGCAACAGGGCTTCGCCATCCTAAAAAGGTCCATCCACTTTTCTCTCCACCTGAATGCCTGGCAATCACTGCTCTTTTTGCTGTCTCTACAATTCTACCTTCTCCAGTATATCAGAGTTGGAATCATCCAATCTGCTGCCATTGAGACATATAAGGTTCTGCTGTGTTCTACTGCTTTGATGGGTATAGAACGTTCCTATCACACAGGTTAAGGCTATTAAGGCTCAGTGAAATGTAAAACACTAATTTTCTTCAGCTGAGATGCAATGCCTGTGACACCCAATCCACCCACTTAAAGGTTAAAACTAAGCACACTACGCAAAAGCCAGAGCTGCACAACTATCATGATGATTACTAGAACATTTGTCACTTCTAGAAGAAACACTGCACCCTTAAGTGACTATCCCTTTGTCTATCCCCTCTTGTCTATAAGCAACCATTATTCTACTTAGTAACTCTCTAGATTGCCTATTTGGACACTCTTTATACATCATACATTGTGGTGTTCTTGGTCACTGGTTTCTTTCTCTTAGCATGATGCTGTCCAATGTCAACCATCCTGTAGAATAGATGATTACTTTATTCCTTTCAATGACTGAATAATATTCTATTGTGTGGCTTTAATATTATTCTGTATGTGCTTATCAGTTGATGGTCATCTAGGTTGCTTCTATCTGTTGCCTATTTTGAATATTGCTGCTGTGTTAGTACTATCATCACTGTCACAAGATACAGAAGGAACAGATTTATTCTAGCTCAGGTTTCAGTTTATAGTCTGACTCTGTTGCTTTTGATGTGGGTAAAGCAGACCTTGACAGCAGTAACATGTGGCAGAAGCCGCTTGTGAGTGGGGAAGGCAGGATAAGATATAACTCATGAGGTTATGACTCCATCATTATTTTCTCCAGCTAGTGCTAAAGTTCATGGAACCTCCTACAATGCCACAGCCATCTGAAGACAAAGTATTTAGTACATTTAAGTTTAGCCTTTACATTTAGGTCTTTTGCCCACTTGCAGTTGGGTTTTATTTATGTGTGAGGGGAGATAGGGGTCCAATGTCATCCTTTTGAATTTGGACAGATGTCCCAACATCACCTGTTTAAAAGACTTACTTTTCTGTTGAACTATTTTGATAACTTTGTTCTAAAAAAGCAATCTGAGAGATTAGCTCAGTGGGTAAAATCTGTGCTGAGAAAGCCTGGCAACCGGAATTCAACCCCAAGAACTAATGTAAGACCAGGAAAGAACTGATTCCACAAAGTTGTTCTCTGGGCTGCACATGCATACATGACACAACACATATATACCAATCCATCATACATAGCAGTAACTACAATTTGTGTTAAACTGACTATAAAAATGGGCATGTGACTTTTAGATTCTCACTTGAATTTCACTGATTCACATATCAGGATTATACGGTCTTGGGTCTTGATTAAGTTTTGAAACCAAAAAATATGTCTATTTCTCCAAGATGATCTTAGCTACTATGAGTTCCTTGAATGACTATGTTTTAGAATCAATTTGCCTGTTTCTGCAAATGGGCCAGCTTGATTCTGATAGAGATTAGGTTGAATCAATAGGACAATTTAGGAAGTATTACCAAATCAATATTATATCTTTTAATGAACCTGGAACATATTCTCACTCAATGGGTGTGGTGTGTGTGTGTGTGTGTGTGTGTGTGTGTGTGTGTGTGTGTGTATGTATGTCACACACATGCATGTGGAGGCCAAAGGTCAACACCAGGTATCTTTCTCGATTGTTAATATCTACCTTAATTTTCAAAAATTTACTATGTGTATATATACAGACACAAACATGCCATGACAGGCATGTGCATGCCACCTGCACATGTAGAGCTCAGAGGAAAACACGAGAGTGGGATCTCTCCTGCTACATTGAGATCCATGGTTGGAACCTGAGGTATCAAGTCTGCACATGTGGGCTTCTGCCCACAGCAGAACCCAACCCCCCAAGTGCCATTCTCTAGTTTCTAACCTTTGGCAGAGACTATGTTCTTGAAGTTCTACATCTGCCTGGGGCCCAACTTTATTGACTTTCATATCTGGCACTCACCGAACTTTACTCATACCAGAATTGTTTGGCAGATTCTAAGAAATGATGTGATTTTGCCCAACAAAATAACATACATACATACCTTCAACTGGGCCAATCTGATTGGTCACAGCAAACCTCAGCACACCCTCATCCTCACTATACAAAGCAAAAGCCCGGTCCACAGTCAGCTGCTGGGTGGCAGGAAAATCCAAGTGTCTAAGGGCATGCCTGCACACCTTGTAAGTGATGTTCTGGTCTATGTGGTAGAACCATGTTTGGTTGATAGAACCAGAAGTGAGAGAGAAACTTCTGAAACTGGAGGAGGTTACAGCTGTAATGAATACAGGCAAACAGGTAAATTTTAAAATACCAAAATAAAAAATGTTAATGTTAGATTTTTTCCCCACAGTTTTTCACCCCATTCCTAGAGTAGTTTCCCTTAATAACTCCCTGAGATTCTACAGGAGGCTTGCAAGGAAAGATCTAGAACCCGAGTATGTACAAAGCCATACTGCTAAGAAGGAGGAACTGTAACTGCTACCCTAAGAACAAGCATTACGAACAAACTGCTACTGTCATCACACACTAAAAACAAGCAGTGTGATGTGCCATGAGTTACTGGCATGCTGAGAGCTGTCTACACACTATCTGGTTTGCTCCTCATAGCCCTGTAAGACAGGCACTGACTATGTGTGCAGAGGTGAATAGCCCAAGTCGAAGGAATGGGATATGATGGAGTTGTGACTGGAACTTATTGTATCTCAAGATCTGAGACACATTCCAAAAAGGGAATGCCCCCCAATGCTCTGCACTTTGGTAAGCTGGCAAGGCACCAGCAGAGGAAATGGTTGTTCCTCTCTGGCTGGAAGTTGTGCTAGGATTGGCTATGGTATATTCCAGTCACAGTTATAGTCTGTGTTTCAGTTTTTTCCCTGTATCCAGCTCTCGTACTGGAAGCTACAGCCACAGAACAGGTGCCACTCAAGCTAGACCCACCAACTGTAAAATGACAACCGTGGCCATTGGAGTATCTTGCAAGTGGCTAGTACTGAGTCCAGCTTTTTGACATTGTGACATGACACTATCTTCTACAAATGTGTTGGGCTGTATTTATAGTTACCCTGGGATGGATGCAGCCCCAGGCTGCAGGCTGGATATACTATACAACTTACCATACCTTATGAAATTTATCAACTATATTAGGCAGTCAGAAAAAGATGATTTTATTCTCATGTTAAAAGATGAGAAAATAGGTTTAAGTGATTTTGCCTCCATAGACTTTAAATGGAAAATCCAGGATATGAATGAATTTATACATTGTCTCCAAATCCAGATTTGTTTCACAACACCACAAAGCACCTTTGTATGACTTTCAAAGTAAACTGAAGTCATCAGCTGAAACAGTTACAGCAGAATCATACATCCTAATCGTCAATACAGCCCATGCCCAAGGGAGTAGCATCTTATCTGTTATTACTACCAGAAAATAATGTGCAAAGATAGACATTCTTGTGTATAGGAGTTATTACTCCACTCACCTACAGTGTATTCTTCCTAAAAAAACAAGAAAAAAATTATAACAGCTTCATTTTGTGTTCCAGGATATTCCATGATTTAAGCCTTGTCACTATGCTGTGAGGCAGACACCATATCCATTTTATAGTTGTGGAAACTCACACATACCTGAGTCCGCATGACGATAAAGCTCCTTGTACGGAGCAATGTGGGCTGTGAAATTTGCCGGGATGAAGGGCACCTGGCCCTCAATGTTGGTCTTAATGCTCAGGTAGTTCTCTGGGTCAAGCCCCTCAGCAGTTTGAGTGATACGAACCCTCCCTTCTCCAGGGTAAAAAGTAACTTCCACATCATGGACAAAAGTGGCACCTGCAAGAAGCAAAACTCAGCAAGTGTGTGACAAGAAGTTTTGCTTAAATCATTTTGAGGCTGGGGCTCGAGTGGTAGACTGCTTGCCTGTCATAGGAGGCATGGCTTCAAGTAGCTTGTCACCAGTGTGTATGTCCTCCTCCCAGTCTCTGTTAGAGATGGTTCCTAAGGAGAGTTTGCCATGTCCAGGCTCAGTCCTAGCCCTGCTCTCCTGAAGTTCTCAAAGAGCTCAATTTCCCCTGCCCTGATCTCTTAATGGGAGAAATTACTGGAAAATATGCCCTAATCCCAACCTACAATTCACTGAACAATTTTCAAGAAATTAAAGTCTAAAACTCAGAAAATAGTTTTTAAACTCTAACGTTAACAGACAATAATCCAAAGCTAACTTGATACCTGTGTGCTGAGTAATGACATGTTTCTGTAAGAGCCCAGAGATTTGTATGGACAGCAAGAACACTGCAATTGGAAACCTATAATAGACTGAAATCTGAGCACAGGTGTCCCAAGCAATGTTTTACAAAGCATGCTCACAGCCAAGGCAGCATTGGAGTCACACGGTACAGCACAAACAAGTGCTCCCAGAATCACACATATTCAATGTATGCTCATAATTTTTTTTTGAGAAGCTAGAAACCTTTTTATCAAACCCTGAATTAAGTTCCATGACCTCTTCTATAGCCATGACTCAGCTTAAAAAGCTAAGACCTATGTATGTCAAAGATGTGCAGATAGAGTGAGGGGAGAGATACCTTCTTCTCCAGAAAAAAATCCGCTCTTAAGTGCTCTGAAGCTACTACTTTTGAATCCCTGTTTGTCAAATCTGAGCTCTACCTACCTGTGAGGCTGAAGCCATTCTCAGATCCTGGCTTCTCCAAAGCAAAGAGCCAGCCAAACAGGCCTCCAATTGGGATGACAGGGAGAAGGGCCTGGGCTGCTGGCTGTGGGATGTGGCTGATAGCAGTATAGGCTCTGCCATCATTGCCCACAATGTAAGCGTGAAGATCCACATCACTGAAGTGCACAGGAGTGTGACCCACTTGGAGTCGGCCACTCACTTTCCCATTAACTCGGTGAGGTACCCCTGAAAGATAAAAACAATCCTCTCAGTTTTGGTCCCCAGCAGGCTGGGAATAGGTGTACACAAATGAAAGATGCCCCTAACTACTCCTAATGATCACTCTTTGGAAAAATCACTTTAATATTATTATCATTATTGCTGTTGGGTTTTCTTGAAATAAGATCTCTATGGATGCCAGCTTAAAGCTCACTATGAGGGCTGGAGAGATGACTCAGATATAAAGAGCACTGGCTGCTCTTCCAGAGTCCTGAGTTCAGTTCCCAGCAACTACATGGTGGCTCATAACCATGTCTAATGAGAGCTGATGCCCTCTTCAAACATACATACAGAATCCTGTATACATAGCAAATTAATAAATCTAAAAAAAAAAAAAAAAAAAACTCACTATGAAATCTAGGTTAGCCTTCAACTCTCAACCCTCCTGCCTCAGCCTCACTCTTGACTGTTAGGATTGTACACATGTACCACCACATGTAGCTTAAGTCACTTCGATGATGCTCCAGCCAACCAACTGCTCACTTATGACTCAGCCCTATCTGTAATCTCTCCCATCCTCCTTCTTTTCCCTACCCTTTGGTTCTACAGAGTTAGGAATAGGCAAAGTGGAAACATTTTTAGTTAATTCTCAAATGGGAAATCAGCACAAACCTATTTATTACTCAGGCATCCAGTCACTAGTGCTGTGAGTCACACAGCAGAGATGTAAGGACCACCTATCAGAAGCTACATTGTAACCAGAAACAGGCAAGCCATGACCCTATATGCACAGCAGGCCCAGCCTGTCAATCACCTTCTGGCAGACAGTGCTTCCCATTTCCATAAAACCTTGTCTGGCAGTGGCAGCAGAAGCCGGTGGTGTAATTGGTGCAGAAGGCATGCTGGGAGCACTGGTCATGGCTGTGTCCACAGGTTTCCCCGTTGGCATCATTATAGGAGAAGACTGCAAGATAAAGCAAACATTAGAAAGGCCAAAGGATCCCAGCATTATCACTTCTAAACTTCATCAGACCCCCATCTGCTCCACAGTCAGCGTGAACTGTAATAAACAAATAGGTTTTGATGCTGAAGAGATAGGAATAAAATTCAGCCTGGGGGATTAACTTGCTTTATATTTTCTGGTAAGAGCTCAGATCACTGCTGTCAACTGGATCTTATTACAACACTAGTGAGCTGGGCTGCAGCCGCACCACTGTGGTCTGAGAGCAGTCTCGAAGGCAAACCATTCTTGCAGATTAGAGTGTGCTTTATGAAATCACCATTTGGTGTTAAAAAAAAAATGGTCAAACACTAGCAATTTTGTATGATTCAACACAGGAGCATTGACCTTCAGAGAGCAAGGCAAAGGAGGGAGCTAAGATCCAGGGACCACAGCTAACTCTTAAGGAACCCAAACTTAAGGATGCATACATATTGCCTTCAAATCCAGAAAGGTTGGGGAGGAAAGAGAAAATAAATAACAGAGTTAAGGGGCTCTCAGTCCTTGTAAGCTTTGTCTTTTCCAGTGCAAGTATGATTTCTATGCAATAGAAACAACCTAGGCTATAGTCACAGATGTTCTACGAAGCTACAGTGAACCAGAGTAAACTTGATGCCCCAGGGATTACTGTTCAGTAAAGAGAGGTATTTGTGCAACAGAGAGAAGGGAGGGAGGAAAGAAGATAAAGAAAGGGAGAGGAGCCTGGAGTCAATGCCATCGTGTCATTGTCTATAAAAGAGATGGCCAAAGTGTGTCGTGCTTTATACCAGGATGCTGAGCAATACATCCCAACACATCCACCAGGAGACAGGGAGGCTGTTTGTGCTTCTGCCTCCCAGCCCCCAGGAGCCAGAGTAGCCTAGAAACACCAAGAGTATTGGATCAAGCAGGAAGGGGCAAAGAGTTTTAGTACATTCTAACCACTGGTGCTCACATGACTACCAGTTGTGGTGACCTTCCAGGGCCAAGTCTGAAAACAAGGAAACAGAAGTGGGTGGAAGAAGTAAAAAATTCATTATTTATTTAGAGTATTCAAGGTGAGAACAAAAACCAAGACAATGAGAAGATGTACTTCCTGCATGTAACAATGTACCTGGCACAAACACTTGCATCAGCAAACACAAGTATAATTGAGATAGCATTTAAGTTTGCTTGACATAGAGCAGGCACTCTTTCTCCAGCTTTAACATTAATCCTCCATTTGCACTAGAGCCCTGGGTAGCAAGTGCCACTTTTAATCTGTTTTCCAGATAAAGGGAAGCAAAGACGATTAAGATGACTCACCTGGAGTCATGAGGGCTATGGACAGCTGGGATTGAACTCTGAAGGCTCTGGATCCTTACTATTCCCCAGTGGTACCCACTAAAGCTAAGGATGGGATCAGGTGTTGCAGCATGTTGAGAAAGGGACTGCAGATGGCTCAGCAGTAAAGAATAGTAAGGATCCCAGTTCAGTTCCCAGCACTCATATGGGTGGCATCATAATCACCAGTAACTCCAGCCCCATGGAATCTAATGCCCTCTTCTGAACTCTTTGGGCATCTACACCCATGTGCACATTCTCCCAAGTGTAGACAGGCATTAACACTTAAATACTTTTTGAGAAGTACTGAGAGCACCACAAGCATTCTTTTCACAGTTTTCACAGTTACAGCATCACTGAAAAGAAGCAAGTGGGTCAGAAAAGCTGGTAAGGAGTCAGTGTGACTTGCCCGAGAAATTCCAGCTTGATAAAAACAGAAAATTAGGCATAACTCAACTTCTAAAAAATCAAGAAAGTGACAAGCATAACTTAAAAAAAAATAGAAAGTTACAAAATTTGTTGCAGGAAACAAAAAGGCAGAATGGATCATGACAAGAATAGCATGGCCTTTTCTATCCTTTTCTATGTAGAAAACTACTTGTTGTTATCACTGGTATAGGGATGGGGAGTGTGAGTGTGTGTGTGTGTGTGTGTGGTTTGGGGAATGGGTCCCAGGGCCTCACGCATACAGTGAGCATGAACTTTCTTACTATGTTGTATCCCTTATCTCAACATTAAATAAGGTGAACAAAAAGATGTGAGTGTACCTTGAGTGTGTTAAAGTATAAGGTTTCCCCAGCTCAGTCAGCACTGGATAGAGCTTTGGAGGGTCACAAGCTGTACCATCTTCAGTCCCTCTGGGAGACCCACAAGCAAACACCACCAGTACTCCCTCACCCCAGAATTCCCCAACATACATATGCAACTGAAGATCAGCTTCCTTATCCTCCTCTGGCACTAAGGGGCAAAGGCAATCCAGTACAGATAGACTGGGGAGTCATTTTCCGTTCTGATCAAAAGAAAAGCTTCCACACACGGTTTGGCTTGCAAATTAAGGGAGTGGTGGATAGGTTTGTGCTGTATTTCTGCTGTTTGTTATTTTGTGAAAACTCACTTACTGCCCCAGTTACTCTAAGCCTCATCAGGAAATGAAGAGTGGGATGAAGAGGGGAATAGAGATGGGAGAGTTAGGTTAATTCAACTAAAACACTAGACGTGACCATAGTGTGAGTCACGAAGCCTGCCCAGTAACTCATAGGAAACTACACATACAAAAGGGTTGTTTTCAATATTTGTTTGTTTATTGAGAGATTCTCTCTCTCTCTCTCTCTCTCTCTCTCTCTCTCTCTCTCTCTGTGTGTGTGTGTGTGTGTGTGTGTGTGTGTGTGTGTGTGTGTGTGTGTGTAGGTAGGTCAGAAGACAACCCATGGAAATCAACTTTCTATCATACGGGTCCTAGAGGTCACACTCAGGTCATCATGTGTGGTGACCATCTCTTAGGTTCCAGAAAAGGGTTCTAAAGTTAATAAGAAATCAGAATGAAAGATGATAAAAGGTTTCCTTGTAAAAACTTTAAGACTTGAACCATAACTATGATGAATCAAATACTTATTAGTAAGCTAACCTGACACCCTTCTCAGGAAATTTGTTATTTTAAGAACAGAACTTGAACCAAGTACACACCCTTTTCAGTCACGTGGCAGCCCCCAAACTCAGGGAGGTTTACTTCCCTTATACCCTCTTCCACACCCACCTGCACATACATTTGCACACTTAAACACCTAAAATGGAAATGTGTTAGTAAAAGCAAACATTTCATGCATTTTCTTTCTTTCATTCATTCACCATTTACTAAACATTCTCTCTGAGCCATGGGTCCAGGAGTCAGGCAAACAGCTGCTCTGAAGCTTGCATTCTCCTGGGCAGCAGCCAATAAGCAAATATGGCTGACTTCAGTGAGCTGGGGCCTTGGTAGTAAAAACTTGCTAATAAAGAGCATGAGAAGAAGTCGTCTAGGAGATTCAGGAGGCAAAGAGGGTTTTGCCCCTGGATGCTGAGTGTGAGAAAGGGAAGAGTGTAACACCAGACAATGTGGGAAACCAGGAGGAGCTGCACTTCCCATCTTGACAGCAACACCCACCCTCAGCATGGCACCATCCACCCTTCACAGGGAGGGTTAGTACATTAGGAACACTGAGATAATTGTTAAAAAGACTAATTCCAAGGCCTACCTTAACCCCACCAATTCCTTCCCAACTCTATGAGAATACCAGGAATTGGTGCTTCAGCCTCTTCAAACTATACATGGTCAGAATGCTACACAGCTGAGTTTGGGCGGGCTGTAGGCAGAGAGTGCCAGGTTTAAATGAGCTCAAATTGTCATTTCAGTTTGGATAACTGCACAGGGTATCTCAGTGTTAGAGTTTTAAAAATCTCACTTCTTTTATTTTCCATATAATTTTTTTAAAGCTTTCTTGTATCCTTTATTGAAGGAAAAATGGGGGTGGGTATATATATGAAAACGAAAAGGACACTGGCAGAGTATTTGAGTCTTATCCTAATTAGGGGTTTTAATGAAAATAGAAAATTCTCCTCTGTACTTGTTTTGACCTATCCTTCAATCTTAGTTTTGTTTTTTGTTTTGTTTTGTTTGTTTTTCCAGAAAGGCCTAAGCACTTGTCTTCAGCCAGTGGATTACCCAATCCTCATAGAGGGCAGCCTCAGGAGAGAAGGTCCCATAGCGCACATCACAGAGGACACAGGTTTTCTGAAGCTATCCCATAGCAGATGGGCAGACTTATGCCTTTAACAATAAGAATCAGTTGGGTGGTGGTGGTGAAAGCCTTTAATCTCAGCACTTGAAACGCAGAGGCAGGAAGTTCTTTCTGAGTTGAGACCAGCCTGATCTACAGAGTGAGTTACAGGACAGGCTCCAAAAACTACACAGAGAAACCCTGTCTCGAAAAACCAAACCAAACCAACCAACCAAACAAACAAAAAACAAACAAACCAAAAAGAATAAGAATCAATGCTTTCATTGCATAGCAGATCCTCCTCCCCTAATTTCCTCACCGCCCAGAATAACAGACTACATAGGAATACCACATCCTCTTTTGTTAACAGCAGTGACATGCCTTCCCTTTCAGTTTCCATAGCCATTTTTTGTGTATCAACAGGGTGTGTGATGATGCTGGTGGCAAACTATCAGACTTTATTGTGGCAGCTTATGTCAGCTGTCAGGACACTAAGAAGCTCCCTTCCTATCTATCACCTTCTGAACAAGGGACAGTACCCATCAAAGAATCTCTGCACACAGGTGTCCTCACAGGCATGGGAGCTTCTATTCACAGACTGTCTTGGCAACCTGGAGGTTGCCACAAGTGTGAGGCTTTGGGGCCTAGAGAACCCTCTGAGTGCAGAGCCTGCTAGAATTACTCTAAAAGTTGACAGGCGTCCAGTGAGCAGAACACTTACATAACCCCATGAAAGCCAGGAGGAGAGGAATTCAGGCTTTGTCAAGATGAATGACTTCAAACAAAGAACAGGATCCCTCTACAGGGCAGTACACACAGGTGCCCTTCCTTCTAGTTCATATCATTGACTGAAATCATATTAGGGTTCTTACAGAAGAGCCTCAGCACCAAATCCCTTAGTCATCCTCA